CCCCCCCGAGACCTCACCCATGTTCTTGCATGTGCATGCTGCGCATCTCTCTTGACTGGGTCTCATGCTTTGTTTAGATCCCCCCCCCCTTTTTTTTGAGACACTGTCTTGTTGTGCAGCCATGTTGGACTCAGACTGTCAATCCTCCTGTCTCCGTCTCTCTAGGGCACCATCATATCCAGCACAGCATAGCAGTCTTGAAAATGTAATTCTACATCGGTTACCCCAAACTCCACCAGCTATGGAATTTTCTGGTCCACATCAATCAAAGGTGAAGAAAGCTGCTCCTGTAAATTAGTGGGTGACACCAGCCTCTGAAAGCCTGTGGATGCGGCCTGAATAATAATAATAATAATAATAATAATAATAATAATAATAATAGCACATCATCCATCTGCCTCTTCTTCCTCCCTGCTGCACATATACACAGAAGACCCTGAGAGCCGGACAGTCATTCTGTGTTCAGGAATCAAACAGAAACTCTCAGGAGGTTCTATGCTGGCTCCCAGTCTCTCTCTCTCTCTCTCTCTCTCTCTCTCTCTCTCTCTCTCTCTCTCTCTCTCCTTGTTTTCCAAGACAAGGTTTCTCCGTGTAGCCCTGGAACTCAGAGATCTGCCTGCCTCTGCCTCCTGGGGTCAAAGGTGTACGCCACCAACCACCTGGTTCCAGGTTTCTCTCTTATCATGAGCCTACCAAGACTACACAGGGATAGTAGTTATCTACTTCACAGCAAAGAATCAAAATCAGTGAGTGATTCCTACACCAATTGAAAAGGAAACTAGACTCGATTCTAGATCACCCCATAATAATGTCCCCTGATCACTTTTATTTCAGTTTGCTTTCATGAATGGGAGACAAAGTGTTGGAAAGCAGCCAGGATGTTGGAACTGCGCAAGTGAGTGTCAGTCAGGGGGCATGTGCTACTCACGGAGACGTCAGCCTGTGCCTTGTGGCAAAGGCTGGGAACCAAATCTTCCCTTCAGGTTGTTGAGAGATGGGCTTCTGGAAGATCCATTAGCACAATGCTTTGGAACCTGGCTTGGAAAATTTGACATGTCAGTTTCGTCTGCTGAGAAACTTACAAACATCCTCACAAGGACTCTCTCCAGCTTCTCCCCTTCAGTGCTAGCTGGCCATCTGAGATTTTAATGCAGAGCCAGGGTAGGATGGCTCAGGGTTCTGGGAGGGTGTCCAGGGAAGATGGGAAGCTTTGGATAGGAACCATCAGTCCTCAGGAAGCTCTTTTTTTTTTTTTTTTAATTACTTTAAGTTTATCTTATGCGCGTTGGTGTGGAAGTGTCATATCCCCCGGAATTTGAGTTACAGCTGCCATGTGCGTGCTAGGAATTGAACCCAGGTCCTCTGGATGAGCAGCCAGTGCTCCTAACCTCTGAGCCATCTCTCCAGCCCCCTTCAGGAAGCTCTTCATTTTGCTTATTGTGCATCCAAGGCAAGCACCGAGTAAGCTACACCCACAGATCCTTTTGTGTGTCTGTGTGTGTTTGCGCAGGTGTTGCTGTGTGTGCAGGTACGTGCGCCCTTCCTATTCTTCCCATGGCAACTAATCCCCAAGACACTCTGCTCTCCAACCAGCATCAGTTGCAGGAGCCTTTCTAATAAGTGGGCGGTGTGGGAGACTGTGAGGCTTTTTGACTGGTGGGGCCGTGACCTTTCCCTGGGACTGTAAAGGAGAAGCACAGGCCACTTTGCAGGAATGGAATCTGCCCTAGGGACCAGAGAGCTGACTCTCTTCCGGATGGCTTAGAATGTGCACCGCGCAGCGGTCAAAACCCCACACCAAAGCTCCTTCTATCTTCCAGGGTGTCTCCCACTGACCTTGGTGCAGTATCTCAGAGTAAAACCTTAGGTCGGCCTCAGCGCTCCATACAGCAGAAGCTCTCTGGGGAAATGCTCGAGGATCCCTTTACCCAGTTTCCAGCTGTGTGAGCTCCATCCAGCTGTGCCGGGCTCCAGTTTGCACCTCGGAGCCAGGTAGCCCCGGAGTTCACTGTCTCTCCTTTTATTTGCATCTCCAGCTGTCTGTCATGTGAGAGGCCTTATGAATGCCCGGGGCTCCCCAGGGGTTGGAGAGGGCAGAGCTGAGGGATGACCTAAGGTGGGAAAGAGAGGCAGATCTGTAAATAAACAAGGGCAGAGTTGGGCGACCCGGGGGCCTCTGCGGCTTCTGCTGAGGGGAGCTCCTGAGGCCCCTCTGAAGCAGCCAGGGGGAGGCGGTTATTGTTTTTGGATTTCGCTGAGATGAACTCCAGATGATTTTCCAAGGGCTGATTTCACAGCACATTTGCTGCGTCTGAGCAATCGCTCTGTGCAACAGTTGCGTTTCCATTCGGCATTTACCTCGTGTGCCCGGGAATCAGGACTGTCTGCCTCCTTGGGGTCGTCGAACCCTTTTATTTTCTTTGGGGCTCGGCCAGAGCCTTTCTGTCAGCCCTGGTTTCATCTGGCCCTTTCCATTTGTGTACAGGCAAGATGAGGCCAGGTTCCAGAGTGTTCCCGAGCTAGTGACTGTGGCCAGTCCTTGTTGAACGTAATCGGTACGGACAGCGGGGACACCAAACTCTTCAATACATTTCAGAGAGACAGATAATTCAGCTACATACAAGGGAACAGAACAAAAGCCACAGTGATCCCTAATTTGAGAAACACTGATTGTTTCTGTTTGTTATGGCAAGGGAGAACCCCGAGATGTGGGAGGAGTCGGGAGTTGTAGGGAAGGGAAATGGGGTGCTACGTGAGCGCAGTTGAGCTGTTTTGGAGACAAGAGTGTTTATGACAAAGGATCAGTAGAGCTTGCCTTGAGAAGTCTTATCATTGTCAAAGGAGTAATGGAACTCTCCTCGCGGTGTTCATTGTATACAGTTCCTGCTGTGGATACGGCTTGTGGTGGTTGGAATAAGAATGGCCCCCGTGGGCTCCTATATCTGAATGCTTAGTCATCTGGAAGTGTGGCCTTGTTGGAAGACGCGTGTCACTAGTGATGGGCTTTGAGGTTTCACAAAGCCCATTCCAAGCCCAGGGTCTCTCTTCGTGCTGCCTGCCAATCCGGATATGGAACTCACTGCCAGCTTCTCCTCCAGCACTATGTCTGCCTGCACGCCGCCATGCTTCCCACCATGACGATAATGGACTAAATTGCCCGAGTTGTTGGTGGCACATGCCTTTAATCCCGGCACTGGGGAGGCAGAGGCAGGCTGAGTTCTGAGTTTGAAGCCAGTCTGGTCTACAGAGCGTGTTCCAGGACAGCCAGGCCGACGCAGAGAAACCGTCTTGAAAAAATAAAAAAACCAAAAGGAAAAAGAAAACAGACTGAACCTTTAAGCTTCAATTAGACGCTTTCTTTAATAAGAACTGCCTTGGTCAAGGTGTCTCTTCACAGCCATGACACCTCCATAGAACAACCCCAACTGGATGTTCGCCTTGAGGGCTATTTTCTGACTTGGGGAAAGAAGCTTGAGCCTGGCTCCTGTGCAAGTCACATTTAAACTCCTGCCTGACCACCGCCATCAGCAGCAACAGCAGCCCGTCTTCAGGAAAACGGACTCAGCATCCCACAGTCACCACTGTTCTCAAGGGTTCCAGCCCCAGGAAGTGTGGGCTTCCCCAGGGGAGCCCAACGTTGCTCAGGCAGCATGTGCCCCGCCCCCACCTCCAGCCAGACTTCTGTTTCTGACCTTCTCTACCGGCCTTGTCCTCACTCTCACTCACCTGTCTATGCACACAGGGCTGAGTGGCCTCTGGCTCCCTGGTGACCCCTCATCCCTTGGCACAGGGGTAGGGTTGTGGAGGGTGAGTGTTATTTCCTAGCTGACCGAGCATACTACTTTGTGGGGTTGATCCTGGCAGCCTCATTCCCACCATTTCCTCCAGACACTGCTCCCCCACCCCCCAATCTACCTACACCACCTCCTTTCCCTTCTCCAATGATACTGGATGTTGTTACCCAAGCTGCCCATCCTCCCTTGAGAAAGATGAATCTAGACTCTGGAACCAGGCCTGGTTCTGCGCAACTCATCTGTGCATCCTCCAACATGCTTTTCATTTCCCTGGGCCTTGGCATCCCAGCTGTGAAAATATAGAGGACTAGCGCTTTGACTCTAAAATTGCATATGAAAAAGAAAACAACAAACAAACAAAACAGGTGTTTTGATTAGTCCTGGCATTTCAACAAAGAAGGCAGGGAGGAGTCCTTCTCCAGTAGGCTTGTTGGTTTTGCAGTTAATAAAGACTGAAGGACCTTCACCAAAACTTTTCTTAGATGTGCAGTTTTTTGTTTTGTTTTAAGCACATATGTTGTGGAATAATGCTTTTGTACACTGGTTTAACAAGATGCTGATTGGCCAGTAGCCAGGCAGGAAGTATAGGCAGGATAAATAGACAAGGAGAATTCTGGGAAGAGAAAGGCTGAGTCAGGAGAGATAACCTGCGATCCAGGGAGCAGCATGTAATGACACACAGGTAAAGCCACGAAAAACGTGGCGACACATAGATTAGCAGAAATGGGCTGAGTTTAAGTGTAAGAGCTAGTCAATACTAAGCCTGAACTCATGGCCAAGCAGTCATAGTTAATATAAGCTTCTGTGTGTTTACTTGGGTCTGAGCGGCTGCAGGACTTTGAGGACACGGGAGCAGGGTGGGCATGGGAAAACTTTCAGCTACACATGTACAAACTGGATTATGGGAAGAAAAGAGAAGAAGGTTGAAGTCTGCCAGGCAATTGGGGATGGAGCACTTATGCGGTCCTGTTGGATGGAACTGGATCCTTGCACCCTGAGAATCAGTTTTAATTGTCCAAAGGCTGAGGTAGCTGATTCCTTAGGGTGGTGCCCTTGGCTGTGGTAGGAGGTTCCTTGGGGTGATGTCCTTGGCTGTGGTAGGAGGTTCTCTGAGAAAAACTGCTCTTTCCTGCTGCCATCCTTCATCGTAGCTTTCTTCACTCCCCAGGCCTCCCTGGTCATGAGGCTTGGTCTTCTTTCAACCTCCCTTACTCTGTAGGCTTCTTTTTTCTGACTCTGTGCTCAAATCTCACTGGACACCCCCAGGGAGAAGACATAGGCATCTGAGGACAAGGCTGACTGACTCACATCTCTGTCTTCCCGGTCCAGGACTCTGGATCCTGGGCGGGATTGAGGTTTTTGGTGGGAGAGAGCACCTAAGGGCTGGAAAAAAGATTGTTGATTAAAATAGAGGTTTCTGCAGCTATGAGCTCTGCTACACTTCAGTGTCCCTTCCAAGCTAGAAGAATCCAGTTCAAAATAGAATCCTAGGCTGTTGTCTCCCAGGAAGAAATAACTGCTCTAATTCTAGTTTGACACATAATTATTATA